ACACTTCAGTACCACAAGAAGATAAGAAAAGGATTAAAAGATAGTTAAGTGAAAAAATTTATGATAATGATGACAATGCAACAATGAAGGAGGGGACAAAAAGGGCAGACACTTTTTAGGGTCATCAGTCATCGAAAGAGCAAGATAAATATGTGCATCACAATACAGTAGCAAACCCTCCTGAGACATTTTCTCTCCTAACTTCAAGCTTTAACTAAAAGTCTAAAACATTCTATAACAATTAGAGATGTCCACGGGTGAGGCGGGGACAAAGAAGCCTTCCCCGCCGCCTATTTTCATCCACATTTTCGTGAAATTCACCATTTATTTTCATGGAGATTTCCCTTGAGAAATTTACAGGGACCGGGTTCCCGTGAGGAATTTTTTCCCGTTACTATTATAATTTTTCTAAAATTATTCCTTTAAATAAACGGTTTAATGGGTAATTTTCAATTTTTCAATATTAATTTCTAAAAAAACGTTAAACATCTTAATATATCCCTATAATGTCCTACCAATCTAATTTCTAAAAATTCAAATTTTAATAATACAAGTCTAAAATACTTTTAAAAAATAAACATACTAACTCAACTTAAATGGAAGCAAGAAATATGTATGTATAATATAATATAAATATATAATTGGTTAGATTTGTGTATTAGTTTTGATGTATATAAAGGCTGAGAACAGGGACGGAAAATATAATCCCCGTCCCTAGCCTCATTTAGCTAACGGAGAGAAACATTTGTCCGCACCCTTCTCTATTGTTTCGCTGTTAAATGGACATCTATAATCCAGTGACATCTGAATGGCAATACATTCAAAGTACTTATAAAAACAAACCTTTCTAGTTGCATTTCCAACTAGAAAATTGCAATCAATAAACTTCAAATGTAGAACATTCATACTGCTAAACTTAAGCATCCAGGATTAGTTAAGTAACGGAAATCTTTAGCTACATGTTTATGCTGGTAAATATTTTCTTATACGCTAAGAGAGCCGGAGCCGGAGAAGATTCATATTCCACAGCATATATATAAAAAACAATGAATTTTTATAAATCCCTACTCTTCCAGAAGACTAATTGCTTCCAATTGAAGCATATCATCAATTCAGAGTTCAACAAAACCCATCAACAGAGATACAAAGGGAATCACAACCAAAATTCTCGAACACGTTAAGAAGAAATGTAAAAAGGATCAGAAGAACCTTGATATAGTTATGCTCAATGAGAAATTTCGCAACTCCAAGATGATATGGAAACAGCAAACCAGCGGCAGAGAAGCTAAACCCTGGACTGGTAACGACTCGCCGCTCTCGCTCGGCCTTAACATCCTTAATCCGCTGCTCCCACACTACATCAGGCTGAATCTCATCCTCAACCACCGCTCCAATTCTCTCCTCGTACTCGCTCTTCGTTCCACTGCGATTCTCGAACATAGCAACCCCATTCGAACTTTTTTTGGAGGAACGACTAATCAACCTCGCCGCCAGCCCCAATAAGAGGTCCCCAGTGGCTACAGCGAATGACTTCTTCTCGGGAATGGGATCCGGCGGTGGCGGCTGTGGAGTCGACGATGAAGACGAAGAATTTGAAGTGAAACGTAGAGTTTGGGTGCGTAATGGAAGAGTGTATCTGTGTGTGAAATTGAGATTAGGGTTTGTAATTGGGGAAGAAAAGGAGCGGGAAATAGAAGAGAGAGGAGGAGCCATGGAAGAAGAAGAAGAAGAAGAAGAAGAGGAAGAAAGTGTGAGCTTTGATTTCAATTGCAGGCGGAGGTTTTTGTGTCTGTCCCAATGGGTTTTATTTTAATTACCATTCAAAGTTTTTTAATTATTTAATCAAATTATTTACCGCTCTAAATATAACCTATGTTAAGTGTCGCAATCGCACTTTTCTGACAATATAATAACAACTATGCCGTTGTTCTAACTTACAAACAAATTAGCGGTATGACAGACAATTATATTTATTCAACACAGTAAAATCAGACAACGATTGTACGATACTAGTTTCTAATAATCAATGAAAGAATATTAATGAAATGCGAAGAAGAAAGGTATAAAATCCTAATTTGTCTCGATGGGGGTATTTTGGTAATTCATCCGTTTATATGATTTCGATTTCGTTAACTTGGGTTTGTTATATTCATATTGTAATTATTTTATTTTATTTTTTTAATTCTTAGAAATTTTAGCTAAATTTTAAAATACAAAATTTTAGTTATTTAATGATCCTATGAATATTGGAAATAATCTATTTTATTTACATGAATAAAAATAAATATTGGAAAGTAATAGAAATTCAACGTGATTAAGTGTGACGGGTTTTCTTATGGATGTGATAAACAATTAAGAAATTTATGAAAGTGTGCGGGACTCTATATCACGGAAAAGGGTGAAGAGGGTGAAAGAGAGATGGATGGAACAACTATTTGTGGGGCTTACTTAACATATATCATCCAACACTCTAAAATGGTGAATTTAGACTAGTCAACTTTTTCGGGTTCTATCAAGACAATAAACATTATTTGATGATCCTGGCATGACATTACTTTGCATCCTATGTATTACCGTGGTTGCTGGCATAGAGTTGGCCAATATGTTTATTTCCCAGATACAGTCATTGCTTCATTCTCCATTACGGAAAAAGAGTTAGTCAATGCCCATTGCGGAAAATTTCCCACTACTGCCTCCCGTAGGAACTTGGGCCGTGTCTCAGTCCCACGGTAGGTAATCATCCTCTCGGATCAGCTACTAATCATCGCCTTAGTAAGCTATTACCTCACCAACTAGCTAATCAGATGCGAGCCCTTTCTTGGGCGGATTCTTCCTTATGGGGTATTAGCAGCCGTTTCCAGAGCCGTTGTTCCACTACCAAGGGCAGGTTCTACCCTTGCAGAACAAGTCACAAGAGCTCTCTGGCGGGCAGTTGTCTCAAATCTCCATCACAACGCAGCACGCGCGGCGCTGCAATTTCCTTTGCCTCCGGCTGGTTGAATCGCCATTGGAAGATGGAAACCATGCACAAAGCTGGTGATTCAACCGGCGGTTGTCCTTTCTGTTCTTGTTGGGCAGGTTACGGTGGCGATTAGGGTGAACCAAATGCGGAGAAGGCATAATCTTCTTCATATTAATCTCTGCAACTATGAACAGAGCTTGAAGATGAAGAGAGAATACAAATCCATTTCATGAACATTACCTGTAAAAAGCTCCAAATCTTCCGTCTCTTCGAGGAATACGATAAGGAATAACTTTCCAGTCGCCTTTCAAGCCATTCCTTCTCCATCTCTACTTCCTCTTCCTCAATCAATCTTCTTCCTATAAATTCTTCTCTTCTTTCTCAAATTTTCGATTCAAAAGAAACTACCTCAAATTCGTATCTCCATGTCTCAAAATTTTAGACCTCGAATCGCCTTCAATGCCGGAATCCCTAGGACGAGAACCGTCCATTACTATTGGTGTCGAATCTGCCGACGAATCATCAGAATCAGCTTGGGAAATCCTCTGGAAATTTCCATCACTTGCCCCTTTTGCTCCAGAAATCTCCGCCATGAATTGGACGTCGTTAGGGCACGATTCCACGGCGATCCTTCTAATTTTCTTCAAGATTCCGGAAATCACATGACCAACACGAATTCTCGCCGGATGATCCCGCGGTGGACGTTCGAAACTGACGATGCTCATTCTCTGGATTCTTGGATTACTCTCCAATTCTCCAGACCATCGGAAAACTCCAATCCCCCGGCGAATTCCGACACGGAGGCGATTCGGAGGGTGAAAATTACGGAGTCGCATTTGCAGAAGGATTCGAGCTGTGCGATTTGTAAAGAGGAATTCGAAATCGGAGGGGAAGTGAAGGAGTTGCCGTGTAGACATTTTTACCATTCGGATTGCATTGTTCCTTGGTTGAGAATCCATAATACTTGCCCTGTTTGCCGGTACACACTGCAGAACGCCATTGATGGTGAGAGCTTTGAGGAATCTGTGGAAGAAGGAGACGGAAGAGAGAATGGCTGGTGGAATGTGGTGCGTTCATGGTGGCCGTTCCGTGTGATCGGCGATTTGGCTCGCCGGCTAGGGTTCGCCGATAATGGCGATAATCTCCTCGCCTTGGAAAGTAAGATTTTTAAAATTTTTCTTTATTGCAATTATGATCTTATAACTAACGTAAAGATCAGAAAAAAAAAAATTAAAATTACAAATTTACACCAATAAATATAAAAATTAGCCAAATATTGCAGCAGATTCATGGATGTACTCTTGGCTGGCTGATTGACACACCCACCCATGTATGTATCTATCATTTTTTTTTTTATTAGGTTGCTTTATTTATTTATATTTACTCCCAAGCTATAAATATAATATATGTGAGGTCCCACTTCGTCTGTGAACGAGAACAAAACATTTATTGTATGTGAAAATTTCTCCCTCCATGTGTTTTAAAAACTATGAGAAGAGTAAACTCAGATAAGACAATATTTGATAGGAGTGACGGTGACTTTCAACTATTACAAATGGTATCAAAGCCAGACACGGGCCCCTAAGAATGGATTCTAATGTCCCCATATCAGTTAGAGAGGAGAACAAAATGCCTTTATAGGTAGATTTTAAGGTCCCCATATCGGTTGGAGAGAGGGGTCCCCATATCGGTTGGAGAGAGGAACAAAATAAATGTATGCCAACGAGGACACTGGCCCCTAAAAGAGTGGATTCTGACTGGCCCCTAAAAGAGTGGATTCTGAGATTTACGGTTGGAGAGAGGAATGAGAAACATTTCTTATAAGAGTGTAAAAACTTTTCTATAGTTAACACGTTTTAAATCAGAAATAGGAACCTTCTTAAATTTTGGTTTCCTTATTAAATTTGATGCAATATGTGTGTATAGTAATTGCTGAGAGTCAAAAGGAACCTTATTTTCAGAACTCTACAGCTTACCATTAGGTTCCTCTTGAGATCTGCAAAATCCCATCTCATAATTGTATGATTTAGAAGACCCTACACCCTACACCTACAGGACTTGCTTCCCCTTTGGAAAACATCCCCATTCCCCATCTACACTTGACACTCTCCTTTTTGGGAGGAAAAGACCTTGTTGTTGTTAGAAATGTTTGCAGAGGCGCCTTCTGGTTGCTCGTAGAACCAAAAATGAGTACCCGATCCGCTCCAACCCGACGACTTTTGTATCATTTGTGTTCTTCAGTGTGATGATGGATATGTTAAGATGAAGGAGATTGATGGATTTTAATCCTACAAAGATGAGAAATGAATGAGTTGGAGCTCTTATAGATACAAAGGCATTGTACATGCCTTCAGCTTTATAATCTAACAAAGTATGTCAAAACTTACTTGATCTGGACGAGACGAATCAATGGGCGGCGGCCAAACTCTATGGACATCTTCCTTTGTCTGTTCTGATTCGGACCGAAAAGAAGGCTTCGGTTTAGGTAACAGATCAGGGGGCAACGACGAAGAAACCCCAGGTTGATCGGCCGGAGGAACAATCAGACTTGTAGACTTTGGATAGGAGATTGGAGGTATTGAATGTCCACGAGAGGAATGTGCAGGAGCCGGAGAAGAACGAGGTGGGTAACGATTTACATGTCGTCGGGGCGCAAGACCATGGGACGATGACCTTGAACGATGTGGAGCAATCTGTAGTTCTACATGATGACCAGGAGCAGGGGCAGGAGCTGGAGAAAGAGTAGGTGGCATTGCCTTAGAGGTTCTCCTCAGATACGAAGACAAACTGATACTTTCGACTTCTCCGAAGACCGAGTAATCAAGGCCGAGATTTCGTTTGGGAGAGGCGTTGATAATTGCAGCCAACTGCTGTAATCTCTGTGATGTCATGCGTCCCAACTCCGAAGAAATAGAAGCTTGAACAACTATGAGCGGTTGCATTGTCGAGCCAATCGTGTTTGTTATTTGAAAATACACATTCTGTAAGACAAGAAAGAGTGAAATCCAGCATCCATTACTCAACTCCATACATGAAACTAACATCACAACTCAATGTCTATAGCTAACGTTTGATAAACTCGAACAGGTTTTAATACCTCGTAGCGCCTCAGATGCAATCCAAGCTTCACCTCATTCCTGAACTCGACGAATTTGTCGAGTATTTCAGAAATAGAGTTCGTAAGAGTGAAGTTAAACACAATCTGGGGGAACTGCCATATTGAAGCATGTTGAAATGGGATTATAGAGATTCCCCCAGGAAACCTCAGAATTTCGAATACTGATGGCTGTCCAAAAATCGATGTCGTCAAAGTAAGGTTCGACTCGCGAAGGTAAAGGTCATATAAATACGATCTCAGCAGACTTAAGGACACTGGATTTATTGGAGCAGTTAAGTATTCAGAAAGAAGACCGAAAACCACGTATGTCCTGTTCGACTCACCTAAATCGTGCATGGATAGAATGGCAACCTGGTACGAAATACGACGGCCCTTAGTCATAAGGGATCATACTTAAAAAAGCTAAATCCAACAGAAAAGAGCAGCACAAAACCTTGACATTAGGAATGTCTAGTTCACCATTGATATCAAACTCTAATCTCTTGATATGAGGGAGAAGCTCCTTCACAGGCTTCTCAAGAACACAATACACGTGAACTGTGGCTGGAAAAAGGAGAAGAAAAGTTTGAGTACCATATTCATAGAAAATCTAACTTAGAACAAAAAGATAGCCTAAGTTTTAAAACGCATTTACTAGGGAGAGATTTCCACACTCTTATAAGGAATGATTTGTTTCTCTCTACAACCGATGTGGGATCTCACAATCCACCCCATTTGAGGGCTCAATGTTCTCATTGGGACATCGTCCGGTGTTTGGCTCTGATACCATTTGTAACAGCCTAAATCCATCGCTAGCAAATATTGTCCTCTTTGAATTTTTCCTTATGAGCTTCCCCTCAAGGTTTTAAAACGCGCCCACCATAAAGAGGTTTCCACATTCTTATAAGGAATTATTCGTTTTCCTCTACAACCGATGTGGGATCTCACAATCCACTCCCTTTTGGGGCCCAATGTCCTCGATGACATACTGCCCGATGTTTGGCTCTAATACTATTTGTAACCGTCCAAACTCATTGCTAGCAAATGTTGTCCTTTCAAGGTTTTTTCGGGCTTTCCCTCAAGGTTTTAAAATGCATCCATTAGGGAGAGATTTCCACACCCTTATAAGAAATGATTCGTTCCCCTCTCCAACCAATGTGGGATCTCATAATCCACTCTCCTTGGGGACCTAGTGTCCTCGCTGGTATACCGTCCCATGTTTGGCTCTATACTAGTTGTAACGGTCAAATCCTAGCAGATATTGCCTCTTTGAGCTTTTCCCTTCTGAATTTTCCCTCACAGTTTTAAAACGAGTCCAGTAGGAAGAGGTTTAGAGTTTCAAAGTTAACATAGGGAAGAACACAAGCCTGATCCTAGCAAATCTAAGCTAAAAATGGTAGATGAGTTGAACTAAAGCAGAATCCTCTACTCAAAACATCATTAGAAAACAGCAAGATCATCCAAAATCATCAGAGAAGTATAAGACGCCATCAAGAAATTGCTACACAAATCATCCAATCCCAAAACAGAATAAGAGAAATGGGAATCGAAAGACATACATACATACCACTGAGTTTAATGGCGTCTTTCGCTTCAAACCCTGAATTTCTTTCATGAAAAGGAAGAAGCCAAAAGAATCCAGGCACAAACACCACAAACCCCAAAACCAAAACCAACAAACACTTGAAATTCAACTCCTTACAAATTCTATCAAAACAAATCGAACATTCACCACAAAGACACCCAGAAGAGTGAGCCACCTCACGACGCTGCTGCACCGGCAGATTTCGCTCCTCCACTTTCCCCATTTGCAGAGCATCTGTAACAAATCCCCCAAATCCCCTTCTGGGTTTTGTTACAAACACCCTAAAATTCTCAAATAGATTGGTATCTACGGGGCAACCCAACGTTGAAGACAAGCAAAGGTGAATGAGTAGAAGGGTAAAGGGGAAGATGAGAATAAAGGGAGAAACCCCACTTGATTTGTGTAAGACAACAGCAAAAATGGGCTAAGGAAAAGCTTCTCCATCAACACATGGAAGATCCAATGGAATTGAGAATGAAATGGACAAACAGCCTGGTTTTTGATTCATGGGTTTGGCGGAGAGTGATGAATTGACTGAAAAGAACCACAAATCGAGCCTTTCCTATTCGTTGAGATCAAACCTTTTCTGTAGCTAATACTAAGTCAAACACCATTCTTGAGGCAAGAGGTGATAATTAATATGATATTAGAAGTGGGTTTAGTTCATGGAGACTAAATTAGTGCTTAAGCAATGAAGTTGATAACTTAATTAATCAAGTTCATGCACGAAGAGATAAGAGATTAACTTTAAGAATATGGAATAATTATTACAAATCATCTTTACTAAAACTATGGTAATATAGTTCTAAAGATTGTATGATTGATAAATTTTAAGAGATTAGGCATTAAGTAATTTTGAATAATAAATCATTAGTTGAAGCCTTGTTAGCATATGTTTTTCCATCTTCCACTACCCACAAATTATAAAATGTTATCAGTTTTGTTTGGGTGGATTCTTTATTAAAAATATGCTTTTAGGATTAGTTTAGAAAGTTGCACTTATTCCAACCTTTTTTTATGGTTTATATGGTTGGGTTATTCTCAACCATTCAAACAAGACTTTACCGTTCAAAATAAAAAAGTCTAATTGAACATCGAGAGAATGCATTATAGTTGAAATCTCTACTTGGGATAAGAATGACTCAGCCCACATACATTATTTGGCGAAAGCACTCGAAGATGATTGAGATTCTCTTTCTTTCATTTTCTTCATTGACGGCCAAGAAAAGAGTTTCAAGTCACGGCAAGATACATCAAAATGCTATATGAATCCTTTGAGTTGAAAATCTTCATTAGTTGCATGATCACTTTTTTAGTTAAACATGTGGGAGTGGAGGATTCTAGCTCTTAGTCGAAGATATATATACTAACCAATCGAGTAGTTCTCAAGCATTTTTCAAAGCTAAGGATGGTCAGCCATGTCAAAAGCTTGGGACGAATAGAAGGTGAAGCTGCTTTTTTAGGATTCCTAATCATATAAAGGATAATGAACACTGAGTCTTAGACTAGATTCTATCAGCTTCAAAGCAACTCAACAAAAACTGAAGAACAAAATACAAACAAATCTGTATGGTTTGCAGTACGTGTCAAAACTTTTCTATTTCATTCGAGGAAGGAAAGAAAACTAAAGAACTTAAACAAATTCTATTTCTGCAAGAACAAGAAGGGTAGACTAACAAGTTCTCTAAATAAGCTTTTTCTTCTGAAAGAAGCGCTTCAAGTACCATATCTGTAGAGTAGAAGCAATGATGCAGACACCCAAGGACATGATACTATACCACGCAACTCGTGAGTTTGTTCTCTCGCTGACCGTCCTCATAATAGCTTCTCTGCAAGACTCCAAAATTATATAAACCAGAGTAACGAGTTGGAGAAGGTTGTGGACATTGGCTAGATTTAGGTAAGCATTCAGTTCTACAATGGAAACTTGGTTACCTGTCCCTGAGATAGATCAGATTTTCATGGATAGCTTCGACAGCTCCCTCGAGTTTCCTCAGCTCGAGTTCAACACCCTAAACAAGAACGAGTTTGATTCGAATGGATATTACAAGTTGTAGTGGAATATGGAAAAGTGGAGGAAGTAGTTAGTTACCTCAATTTTCTCTTTTTTTGCGACTGATTCCCAATCCTTGGCTGCAATCCCTGTTCTCCAGTCAAGGTTGACACTTACCTCAGTACTAGCTTCATGCTTGTGGTCAGTCAGCCAGAAACAGGCTAGGTAATTACCACCCTCACTTGTCGTAAACGCAAACTGACCATGCGTTATGTTCTCCGAGTGATGAAGATTGTTCCCGTATGGAGATGTCACCTGAAGGAGACTGTCATCAATCAGTAAAGTGCAAAATAATACCATATAATCAAGACATTAAGGAATCTGGCCTTCAAAACTTAAAAGGAAAATTTTTCCACACACAAAGAATAAACATCGATTTGCACCGAATCTGTATGTGATTATTAATCTAGCGTTAAAAGTTACGGAATCATAATCAGATCACAGATTCAAACATGTTTGACATCATTGAATCGACTAACCATGTCACCACCAAATGACAGATATAAATTACTTAAAAGGAGGCACAGCCAATGGATTCAGCTAAACATCCTAAAACATATAGTACAGTTCATCTGGTTGTTTACAACAATCCATGAACGGTGGATTTATCAGTAGTACATATCAAATGGCCTGACGCACTGCCAAGTCTAAACTTCCATAAGAATTGTTCAAGTCTTAGATTAATTAGTAAGAAAAAAGCCAAGAAATAACATATATCATATGAGTAGATAAGCTTATTTTTTAAGAGAGATGATCACTCAAAAATGTCCAACAGAAATTCTGTAACGTCCCAGATCCACAGCTAGCAGATATTGTCTTCTTTGAGCTTTCCCTTTCGGGCTTCCCCTCAAGGCTTTAAAACGCGTCTGCTAGGGGAAGGTTTCCACTCCCTTATAAGGGTGTTTTGTTCTCCTCCCAACCAATGTGAGACATCACAATCCACCCCCTTTGGGGCCTAGCGTCCTCATTGGCATTCGTTCCTTTCTCCAATTTGATGTGGGACCCCCACCAAATCCACCCCCTTTGGGGCACAACGCCTTACTGGCACACCGCCTAGTGTCTACCCCCCTTCGGGGAACAGCGAGAAGGCTGACACATCGTCCGGTGTCTGGCTCTTATACCATTTGTAACGTCCCAGATCCACAGCTAGCAGATATTGTCTTCTTTGAGCTTTCCCTTTCGGGCCTCCCCTCAAGGCTTTAAAACGCGTCTGCTAGGGGAAGGTTTCCACTCCCTTATAAATGGTGTTTTATTCTCCTCCCCAACCAATGTGGGAGATCACAAATTCAGAGGTCAAAACACAACCCTTCAATGGAATCTACTAAAGAAATGGACAAAATATATCACCTAGAGACTCAAATCGAATTTTAAATGAAGATCTATCACTGTCAATAATATATAGACTAGTCAAGTTTTGATACTAAAACAATTCGAGATTCAACTTTTTGGTCACCTTCCCCATGAATCATCCTCCCAAACAATCATTAAGAATTTAAAACAATTTGCAAAAACCAAATCATTTGTGGGTGTGCGGCAGATTTCAAAGGTACCATCCCCTTAAGACTAATCCACAACCTGGCATTGGTCTTCCTTCATATGTTCCTCTAAACCTGTTGAGATAATCTTCACAGACAAACTCAGAAACCAAACAAACTAAAATTGGATGGAAAAAAACCTCCATAATAGTAAAGAAGAGGCTATCATAGAATTGATGCCTTTCTTTAATCTCCCTGCTAAGATATGCCTAAAGCGTTGTGAGAACATCAGACTTTAGTTCCCTTGAGCAACAAGCCAGAGAAACAAGGACACTTCCATTGGCGCACTGGATTTATACAAACCAACACAGCCGGAAAAATCCTTTGGTCCCGTTAATTCATCAATGACAACATGAAATTTTATCTCCAGGATTAGAAACAAAGGACATGACGCACAAGAAATAGATCAAAGTTCTAGGAATTTCGAAATTGATCGGTCATAACCAAACGGGAGAGGAGAAATCAACAAATAAGTAGCAATGCATTACCCCATCGGGTTTATTTCATAATCCTATCAATTTTGATACAGCCCAACAAATTATCAAACCGAGAAATTCAAATAAAAAACGCACAAATAAAAGAGACATTGGCGAACGAAGAATCAAAGAAGAAAAAAGGTTTAATCTCGAAATTTGACCTTGACAGAAATGGTGGGAGCATGAGTATGATCAGCGACAACGACAAAATCGGCAAGAACAACAACGTTGGTCTGGATTTCCTCGGAGACGCACTTGGTTCCAGATGCAGGTAAGTTCAACCAGATTGAATGGGCAGTTCGAACAAGATCTGCGGCGAAGAAACAGAGCACGAACAACGGCAATACCACTTCCCGGCGCATGATGTTCTCCGATTACCAACCCCGAAATCTAAGAGAACCGAATCGAATCGAATCGAAACTGGTTTGCAGTTCAGATCAGATATTAAAAATGGAGGAAGAAGTAGTAGAAGAAGAGGAACCCCGTGACTGCGGTAATCTGAAATTCTCTACACAAAATTAGAGCATTATTAATATTTTGTTTGGTTAATTTAGTTGTAAAATATTTTTTAATTTTATTTTTACTGAGGAATCTTTCTAAATTATTAATATTATTTACCAAAACATTATAAATTAGAATTTCTTTTAATATTATATATGTGACTTGATATTAATGTTGTTCTTGGATCGATTAGAACTCTTAAATTTTTTGGGCCCTTATCCGTTGAATCGTGGGATCGACGTGTGGGTTCAATCCAAGTAAGAGCTCGGGTAAATCATTGTTCGGCCCTAGCTTCGAGTTTGATCATGTTATCCAAATGTAGAGCCGAAGATTCTTTTTGGATGAGTTGAAGGGAGATTAGAGATATGCTTTAAATCCATTACTCAGCAGCTGCCACTGTTCCAATTTGATTTTCATTCCTCCTTTTTTTGCATCTGGTTCTCGATTCTCATCCACCATGGAAGCTCTCATCTCCCAGTTCACCTTCCTCTCCGATCGAGCTTTACAAGACAAGAATTTCGACCCTTCCACCATTGAAGACCTCATGAAGCTCTTCGAGATCGAAGCCTACAATTCCTGGGCAGCCTTGGAGCTCCAACACCAGAACGAAACTCGAGACGCTGAGATCGCGATGCACCAGGCTGAGGATTATCTCGATTCCGTCATGGAAGATGCTTTGGATGAGTTCAGAAGGTTCGAGGAGGAGTTCGATCGGATGGCCGAGGTTGAGCTTCAAGACCTCGTCGACAAGTCGGAGAAGGCTCGCAAGATGGGCAGTTTGATGGAGAAAGCCGCCGCGGTTGCTTCCAAGAGGTACATGGAGGCGGCGATGAACTCGGCCACTGCTTCCATGAGATCTGCCTGGAAGGCCATTTCGTCCAATAAGGTTCATCCTTCTTGAACCCGCCTTAAATCTCTCATATGATTGTTACTTGCTTTTCATTTCTTGAAGAATCGAAATCTATTTAGGTTTCAGAAAGAGATGAAACAATCTGTGAAACTGTGAAATCAATGCATAAATAACTACAATTTCGTACTCGATTGTTCATGATGCTAGATACAAATTGCACTGCGATCACACTTTCACAGAAGCCTTTGATCTGTACTCTGCTTACGAACACAAAATAAACTATTTCTGGAACCGAAAATGAACTGAGAAAAGTCCACTGAATTGTTCATACTCAATTGTTCATGATTCTAGATACAAATTGCACTGCGATCACACTTTCACAGAAGCCTTTGATTTGTACTCTGCTTATGAACACAAAATAAACTATTTCTGGAACCGAAAATGAACACAAAATCCACTGAATCATGTTTGTGATGGCCCCTCTGTTTTCTTTCACTTGAACATTCTTCTGCTTCTCCTCTTTCCATTGAGACAACAAGTCCAGTGGCTTGGGCGAAGAATTAATACTGTTGATGATCCCTTTGTTTTAGTTAATCAATCTAGTTCAACATTCTTCTGATAAATCCAGAGGCTTGATTCTTCGAAGTTCAAGATCAGGCAAAAACCTATATGGAAGTTTCCTGGTATCCATTTTTTCGGAATGTGATCGAAATCTTGCATATTGTCCACAATTTTGGAATATTAGAAATTGATGTTATCCACCCTTGGCCCAATGTCCTAGCTGATGGGTCAGATCTGTTCTCTTCTCTAATCAATGTGGGACTCTACCTCTGGATCCCGCACACTGTCTCGTGTCCATCTCTTTCTGAGGCTCAGTCTCTTTATTGACGTCTAACTCTTAGCTCTGATACCATTTGTAATAGCTCAAGATCACCGCCCGTAAATATTGTCTTCTTTGGGTTTTGCTAAAACAGGGAGAAGTTTTCATATCTTTATGAAAAATGTTTCATTCGATATGGGACCTAACAGTCATGGCGATGGATTTGTAGAGGAATGCAATCTCGTTTGTTGTGTCGTATCGTATATATTCACGATGCAACTATCGAGGACACACGTACTAGGTAGAATGTGTCATTTCTCCATTTTCTTGATCATCAATTCCTTATAAAATTAATGTAACTAAATATCATCATTAATGGAATATAAGTAATTAATTGATCAAATTTAATAATATTGTGTGACAACATTAAAAGCTGTTTTTTATTAATACATTAAAATGGTCATAAAAGATGATGACCATAACAGACAGAGACTTGGCTTTCCCATAGCTTCACTCACTTACCATTAAGCCTCTGAATAACAGAGATTATCCCTTGAGAGCCAATCTTTCCATCTCCATTAGCCACCATTGCAGAGAACAATTGCATGGCCAATGCAGCCCCTGGCAGAACTGCAATCCTCTCCACATCTTCCCCTTCTTCCACAACGTCCACACACATTGCCAGATCCTTCACCATATACTCAGCATACCCACCAGGCCTGAAGTCCCTCTTTACCATCCTCCCCCCGAACAACTCCATTGCCATCGACCCTCCTGCCCCGTCCCTCACAGCTTCCACAAACTGCTTCACATCCAACCCCGCCCGCTCGGCGAACACCAGCCCTTCACTCACCCCTATCATGTTTCCCACAAGCGTTATCTGGTTCGCTATCTTGCAGCTCTGCCCACACCCTGCTTCACCCACGTATGTCACTTTCCCCAATGCTTCAAACAGAGGCGATAACCACTTGACTACCTCTGCATCGCCACCCCCAAAAATGGATAGCTTCCCATCTCTAGCACCAATGTCGCCTCCTGACACGGGCGCATCCACAGCCCAGCAACCTGCCAAGATACGAGTAAATAAGCTTGAACTTCTTAGTTCAGGACGTTGGGAGGGAATCCATGTTAATGATCATGAGTTTATAAATAAGAAATACATATTGGTACACGACCTTAAGCAAGGTCACCTAAATTTATGCGGACAACATTATACCATGGTGGAATGGGTGATTTCTAATACAGGGTGGGTTGATTTAATCTAGTAATTTAGTGGAAATTAACAAGACCTTTTGCACGAGCAGCAGCGGAGATCTCGCGGGCAAGAGCGGGGTGGCTGCTGGTGGTGTCAACGATGACCCCACCAGGATTTAGTCCTTGTAGGAGCCCATTCTTCTCTAAGACATTTTGTCGAACATCTGATGGGTTTCCCACCATTGTGAAAACAACGTCGCAGGTGTGAGCTAATTCGGAGGGGGAATTGACGAGGGAAGCGCCTTTGGACTGTAAATCAAGAGCCTTGGAAGGGGAACGAGCATAGATTGTGAGGGAGTATCCGGCGGCGAGGAGACGAGTGGCCATGGCGGCGCCCATCACACCTATGCCGATCCATCCCACGCGAGTTTTTGAAGGAGAGATGGGGATTGGGTAAGGGGTTTCCATGGTGGAATAAGGATTTATCAAAAGCAACTTAACAGATGATCAACAGCCACCGCCGTGGATCTTGGTTTATTTAGAGTCTAAGATGATACCTCAGCCAACACGAATATATGCTAATACCTTTTAACTTTTCAAAATATTATATGCTAATACCTTTTAACTTTTCAAATATCATTAATATCCTTCTAACTTTTTTAATACAAATATATATATATATATATATATATATATATAAAAGTTAATGATAAGGTTATTTTTAATTTTTTCAAAAAGTATTTAAATTTTTTTTTTTAAAAAGATCTAAGTGTATTTTTGAAGTTGGTTAAAAAAAAGTTTAAATGAAGTGATGGAACTTTTAAAAGCTTATTTTTGAAATATTTATAAAAGTTAACGGGTATTTTGAAATTTCAAAAGTATTTTTAAAACAAGTATTAATTATTTTCATTTAAACTAAATGTAAATTTATTGACACATAAAATGTAATCATTAGCATAATCAAATCTACTAAAGCAAGAAGGAATATATGAATGAACTAAAATCACATAAAAATACTTAAAAACTAAAAATTATTACCTATACTAATAAAGTGTATCTTTATTTTGGATAATTCAACATAAAAACTCTATGATTGGTCTGTGGGTCAAGTCGTGTTAGTCTATGAGGTTACTACGTGTTGGTCTGTGAGAATTTTCTTCACTTTTAGGTAGATAACGTGTCCTGTCACAAGAAAAGTAGAAGAATATCGGAACCATCAAATATTGAATTCAAACTCTGAATCCTAACAGAGCATTGCCATGTGTATGGGTTCAAATATGCCAATAAAATGGATTAGGAACTTACTCCCAAACAACTTAAAATATTTTTCTTGTAAAGGATAATTTTAAGAAACAATAGCCTATTTTATTTTTTAAAACATAAACTATCAGTACAAGCCAGACAGAGACTTGGCTTCCAATCCTAAGTGCACAAACAAGCAAACGAGTTTCCTACAGATTCACTTGCTTGCCATTAAGCCTCTGAACAACAGAGATTAGCCCTTGAGTGCCAAACTTTCCATCTCCATTAGCCACCATTGCAGAGAACAATTGCTTGGCCAATGCAGCCCCTGGCAACACTACAATCCTCTCCACATCTTCCCCTTCTTCCACAACATCCACGCCCATTCCCAAATCCTTCACCATATACTCAGCAAACCCACCAGGCCTAAAGTCCCTCTCTATCATCCTCTCACCAAACAGCTCCATTGCCATTGACCCTGCAGCCCCACCCCTCACAGCTTCCACAAACTGCTTCACATCCAACCCCGCCCGCTCAGCGAACACCAGCCCTTCACTCAGCCCCATCAGGTTTCCCCCAATCGCTATCTGGTTCGCTATCTTGCAGCTCTGTCCACACCCAGCTTCGCCCACGTATGTCACTTTCCCCAATGCTTCAAACAGAGGTGACAACCACTTCACTACCCCTGCATCACCACCCCCAAAAATGGCCAACTTCCCATCTCTAGCGCCAATGTCGCCCCCCGACACGGGCGCATCCACAGCCCAGCAACCTGCCAAGAATACGAGTACATAAGCTTAAACTTCTTAGTTCAAGGTGGTTCGATTTGATCTAGTAATTTAGTGGAAATTAACACGACCCTTTGCACGAGCAGCAGCGAATATCTCGCGGGCAAGATCTGGGTGGCTGCTGGTGGTGTCAACAATGACCCCACCAGGATTCAGCCCTTGTAGGAGCCCATTCTTCTCCAAGACATTTTGTCGAACATCTGACGGGTGACCCACCATTGTGAAAACAATATCGCTGACCTGCGCTAATTCAGAAGCGGAATTAACGAGAGAAGCGCCTTTTGACTGTAAATCAAGAGCCTTGGAAGGTGAACGAGCGTAAATTGCGACGGAGTATCCGGCGGCGAGGAGACGAGTGGCCATGGCGGCGCCCATCACACCTATGCCGATCCATCCAATGCGAGTTTTCGTGGGAACGATGGAGATTGGGTAAGGAGTTTCCATGGTGGAATAAGGAATTTTCAAAACCAACTTACAGATGATTAGCAGACATAGCGATCCATCTTTACTTCACAAGTTCGCCCCACAAGTTCTTGATTTGTTCAGAGTCTCGATAATAAATTACTTAAATTTAATTATCTCAATATTTTAATAATTAAACTATTAAATATTTCAAAAATATGTTTTTTTAATCCAACCTACCAATTAACTTTTTCGTTAATAAATTAAGTAAATAATATTTAATCTATAAACTTAAATTATTTTACTAATATACTTTTTAATCGATTAAAATATTAACATATCTTTTAATATAGATATCTCATACCTATTTATAGATCTATATGTAATGGTTAAAATATGGTTTTAGTTATTTTAGGTCATGAATTTCAGTACCATGGTCATCGACGATCATTGCGTATAGATATCTCATACCTATTTAAGAAAAAGTCTCGAATATGTATCGACACCTCAATAATGGGAAGTATATGGATTGTGATTCATCATTTCCACTACAATTCTTTTATCGTTGTGTTTGCAATAATGATCCATTATCCATTGATGTGTGGTTTTTGTTTATATATACACTTCATTTCATCTCAACTTTCTCAAGCTTTAGTAAATTCTAATCAATGGAGAAGACGAGACAAGTCCTCTTGTGTATGGTCGTGGCATTCTCCCTCGCCACCCACATCGGCACCACCCTCGGGTATGGAGCTTTCGGAGGACGCGCACATCTTGTGGGTCGAGATGGGTTGTGTTTACAGACAGCGCCGCTTTCCATATATTACACTCCAACTAAATTAACAGACTGCGATGAATCGGACTCGGACCAATTATGGGCGATCGTTGATGATGGCACAATTCGGGGAGATAATGATAGAAATTGTTTGGTTCCTCATAGTCGGGGTATTAAACCCATTGGAACCAACGTCGTACTAGTAGACTGTACGAAAGAGATAAGAAGCGATATGAAATGGACCAAAACGAACGACGGTACCATACGTCATGACGAGTCGGGGCTCGTCTTGACGGGGAAACAAGGCCAGTATGTGTCGTTGGAAGTCGATGAAGGTGCGCCGTCACAGGGCTGGGAAGCCACGGAAAGGCCCTACCCAAAGGTGGCCAACATCAAGTGGCATAACAACTTGTGTTTACAATTTGGAGATGGTGAATTTTCGTTGGGGCTGAGTGCGTGTAGTAGCAAATATAATAAGAGCCAGCGATGGGTGCTGTATGGGGATGGCACCATTCGAGGCAATGGCGATAGCAATGTCTGCTTGACTTCGCTTTTAAGCTCTTCGGTGGTTGTGTCTAAGTGCGCAGACATGCCACAACAGCGTTGGGGGCTTGCAGCGGACAACACCATCGGCCATCCCAACACCAACTTGGTCATGGATGCGCGTACGTTTGTGCGTCTCTCGCCACTCATCCTGGTTGCCAAGCGCACTGGGACTTATAGCCAACAATGGATCGTTTATTGAATGATATTTAAATAATGAATGGAGATCACTAGCTCTCTGTGTATGAATCCACCCAGCGATAAACATTAATAAAGTGTGGACATGTTTTACCATCATATTTGAATTGTAGAGGAATTATATCAGAATTGTGGAGGCTTGAGTATATATTGTCTGTGTCAATGATGACCCATGTTTTGTTGGCTGACTTACCTGAGAGCGAGAGTATGTTTCGACAAGCTTAATAGAAGTGAAAAGAATAATATGATAATTGTTTATGCTAACCTTTCGGGAGATGATCCAAGTAGGCAGTTAGCTCGATGACGTTACATTCATTGGATTGTTATCTGGTTGTTGTCGATTAGGTCATGGCATCGTTGGTTAAGCACCATGTGGTCGATTGTACACAAAGTTGAATGTTATACTTGTGTTGTCGATCTCTTGGGTCAAGTGGGGAGATTATAGAGGAAATATGTAAGCGAGCATTTGAGGTTCTCTACTAGGTGTCTGTTGAAAAAACAGCAATCACTACCCTTGCATAACCATCACTCAAAGGAAAACCACGAGAGCTTATACTGAAAGTGGATAATATCATATCAATGTGGAGGATTATTATTCGTATCTCGTAGGTGTTCTTCAATAATGATACAAAAATCTATCAATTGAAATTGTAAACAGTACCCATGGATCACAAACTTTAAAACCCCAAAATTAAGATGTTTTATCAACCTACAGAAAAATAATATTTGAATGTTCGTTGATTAAATATTTCAAATGAAAAAAAAAATTGTTCGAGATTTGAATCATTCTACTCTGAACAAAATGGATTAAAGACATAAATCATAACTTTTTTTTATAACCAGAATCCCACCAAAAACCTTCCACTTGCAAGAATGGATTATTTGTCATAATCCATTCGCTCCTAAACAAATTAGAATCGATTCAGTGTAAAACACTTATCGTTATTGATGTAACTTTGTTGAGTAATAAACCCGACCCATTAATATTGTGAACTCATAAATAATAATAATAATAATAATAATAATAATTTACCTTTTTCAATAATTCAAATATATGTTAAAAAATTTATGACTCGAAAAATTTGATCAATACAATTCAATCGGTATGATTTAAATTGGACTATCAATTTACATGTATATATTTATTATGATTTTATTTAAAATTTAGGACGATCCATTTTAATAATTATTGGTTATATATTTAAAATTCACATATGTTTCTTCTATTCCCATTATGTAAATCTTTATATTAAAATACTTCGCATTAAATTATAATTAACCAATTTAATATATATATGTTGAGCGTAAATGATCATATTTATCTTATTTTTATTGGAATTTCCCTCATTATTTGTAATTTTTTTAAAAAATAAATCATCATATAATTAATACCAATTATTTTTTACATATATAAATAATTATGATAAATAAAATGGAAATATCAGGCGCATATCAAAATTTTCCTTGATTTAAGTTTTTTAATCTATATTTTAAAAAGATACATTAATAAAAATTTCTTCGAATTATTTACTTTATCTAAAAATATCTTAAATTTTTTAAAATTTTTAATAATATTTTTAATCTTTTATAGGTTAATATTTTTTTAAAAAAGTACCATTATAACTTTAAAAAATACTACGATCTTATAAAAAAAAATTAATATCCTTCTAAAAAATACTTTTAAATTAAAAAAATTAAAGTATATGAACATAATTATTAATATCAACTTTTAATTTCACTGAATTTTCAAAAATAATATTAATATGAACTTATTAGTACTCTTAAATTAATTTTAAAGTATTTTTAAAAATTCATTAAAAATTATTTTTTTTTAAAAAGAAAAATTTAAATTTAAGAATATATATATATATATATATATATATATATATATTTTAATTTCATCTTAAAAAAAAGACACCTCAACCATGGGAAGTAAATGGGTTGTGATTCATCATTCCCACTATCATTATTTTATGATTTGGATTGTAATAATGATCCATCCTCCATTAATGGTGTTGTTTTTCACTATGTTTTGTGTGTATAAATACCCTTCAATTCATCTCAACTTTCTCAACCATTACTCAACTCTAATAATCAATGGAGAAGATGAGACAAGTCCTGCTCTGCATTGCCCTGGCATTCTCCCTCGCCATAGCGGCGCCCTCTGAGTACGGAGCGTTCGGAGGACGCACACATCTTGTTGGTCGAGATGGGCTGTGTTTAGACACCATGTTGCTTTCCGGATATTATCCTCAAACTGACTTATCCCAATGCCAACCAAGGAAACTGAGCCAGCTATGGACCATCCTTGAAGATGGCACGATTCGAGCCAGTGATGTTAGATACTGTTTGGTTCCTAAAACTCAATTCATTGGACCCGTTGGACCCAATGTCGTAGTAATGGACTGCACAAAAGAGGTAAGACACGACATGAAATGGACCAAAAAGAAGGATGGAACCATACACCACGATGAGTCGGGGCTTGTCCTGACGGCGAAACCAGGCAGGATGGTGACATTGGAAGCCAATGAAGACGCGCCATCACAAAGCTGGGAAGCCACGGAGAGCCTCTACCCAATGGTGGCTAATATCAAATGGCTTGATAACTTGTGTTTGAAATCTAGAGAAGGTGAAAATTCGTATGTGACGTTGAACGAGTGTAGCCGAGATGATAAGAACCAACGATGGGCGTTGTATGGGGACGGCACCATTCGACAAAATGAGTATAGACACTTGTGCTTGACTTCGTCCGAAAGGAATTATGGTGCGCTGGTGGTTGTGTCTAGGTGCGCTGACAAGCCACAGCAGCGTTGGGGGCTTGCGGAAGACAACACCATCAACCATCCCAACACCAACTTGGTCATGGATGTGCATAGGGAGGTGCCTCTGTTGCCGCCCATGATCGTGGTTGACAAGCATGACGGCGCTCCTAGCCAACGATGGTCCATTTACTGAATGATATGTAAATAATGAATGGAGAGCACTAGCTAGCTCTCCTTGTGTATGATGTCACACGGAAGCCATGCAAATGAGTACCTATCCTTGTAGCTCTTTTAATGCTTATCTATAAGCTTCGATAAATAAAGTGTGGACACGTGTGTTTAATTATCACTTACATCGTATTTTTCAAAGCTCGAGTATTATGATCCGTGTCAACAACAATCTAAGTTTTGTTGGCTACCCTATCGTTAGTAGATATTGTCTTCTTTATTTTTAAAACATGTCTCATATAGAGAGTTTTTCATACTCATGTGGGATCTCAAAATCCACCATCTTCAAGCCCTTGTTCCCTTCTCGAAACGATGTGGGACCTCAATCTACCTTCTTTAGATCCGCATCTAATTTTATTATAAGTTTTTTTATTTTTTTTTAAATAATTAACCGTGATGACCTAATCTAACACTAACACCCAATCGATGGTATGACGAGAGTAATTTACGGTGTTCTTGGAAGAATATTAATATTTTTAAATAAGAGACAAAATTAGTGAGATATTTTTTAAAATATAATTTTGGCTTGAAAATTTAATGTTACTCAAAAAAAGAAAAATAATTTAATGGTTCAATAATAATAACATTCCCCTGCTTCTTTCTGTTGCGTAAGAAAACGACAAATTGTGATTGAGCGCGTGGGAGTTGGCGCGTGAAAATCAACATTAGAATTTTCAGCACAGTTCATCGCCGAGAGTTTCGTAAGACTATAAAATCTTAGATATGAAGTAAAACCCGAAAACCCTTGGAAAAGCAAGAGCCTCCTCCTTCCATTGGAATACCCGCTTTCTCTCCGCCCCCTTTTGCCGGTTGGGGAATTTCTGCGACGGTCACCGGAACCGACCTTCGACGATCACCATGTCGCAGTCATTGGAGTTGTTGCTCATTCAATTCTTGATGCCCGACAATGATGCCCGGCGGCAAGCGGAAGAGCAGATTAAGCGTTTGGCTAAGGATCCCCAGGTGGTGCCGGCTCTTATTCAGCACCTTCGCACCGCCAAGACTCCCAACGTCCGTCAGTTGGCTGCGATATTGCTCCGGAAGAAGATCACTGGCCATTGGGCTAAGCTTTCTCCTCAACTCAAGTTGCTTGTTAAGCAGTCCTTGATTGAGAGCATCACTATGGAGCACAGGTCTATTGGATTTTCCATTCTCAATTCTGAATTTTGATTTGTATTTTAGATTTGAGTTCTCTCTCTCTCTCTCTCTCTCTCTATAATGGCGCAAAATGAGATGAATGCTTGGATTGAGTAAAAATGATTCGGCGTAAAGGGAATTGAGTGTGTTCCGATTTGTGGAATTGCGTCTTTAGTTTCTTCCTAGCGCTAATTAGCTTTTATAGTGGAGATTTTATCGATTATTACTTCGTCGAGAGCAAAATTTCTTTCATATATGTTGCTGTCGATTCTCTTAGTGTTGTATTATTAACAAATATGTGTACTGGTGCAGTCCACCTGTGAGGAGAGCAAGTGCGAATGTCGTAAGTATTGTTGCAAAATATGCTGTTCCAGCAGGAGAATGGCCGGACTTGTTGCCTTTCTTGTTCCAATGTAGTCAGAGTTCCCAGGAAGATCATAGAGAAGTAAGTTCATACCCTACAAGAATTTTTAAATAGTGTGCAATCAATCAGACTGCACGTACTTGTACCAAAGATACATTCACAACCTTACTATAAATAAATTTGGAACGTCCATCTTTTGTATCACTTTCTTGTACTTCCAATAGTGGTGCATGGTCTCTACTGTGTTGAAGTTTTATTAAATGCTGTAATTAGTTTTAGACTAAATTCAATTGTTTCAGCTGACTAAAATGTATGATTCATCTGGTGTTAGTAGGTGTCTTTGATTCTATTCAGCTCCCTGACAGAAACGATTGGAAATACTTTCCTACCACATTTTTCAGATTTGCAAGCTCTCCTACTTAAGTGCTTGCAGGACGAGACTAGCAGTCGTGTCAGAGTTGCAGCCTTGAAGTAATGTCTTTATCTGTTACTCCGTCTGCTTACCACAAAATA